TATTTGGGAGCCCAGAGATCCATGACTGTGCTGAAGCTCACTGTGGTGTTGAGAAGACAACAGCCACCTCAGCCATCTTCGGGGGCTGCAGAGAAGGGCCGCACACTGCAAGTCTGTGCTGCTTGTGAATGATGGACACAGAGGAGGACACAGAGGTGACCTTGGGGTCTCTTCGCCTCAAAGGGGAAGCAGGATTTCTGCTTTACATAGCATAAATGTGCACTTTTACCTCACAACAGTTCTGCATCACCTGCAAGTCTGATTTAGGACACGAGAAGTGATCACTGTGGCTTTATCCCCATGAGTGCTTGTTGGTTGGAGGATATGTACAATGACTGCCTGCCCCCATTTCCATTGTGACTCAGACCATGAAATTAGATGTTCTTCTACCTGGTACAAGCAATTCATCTCAATAACATCACTGTTTGTTATTTGCCTTTTTTTTTTCCTCGGTGAGCTTTTCTTGGGCAGTCCTGGCTAAGAGAGTTGTCCATGTGTAACCTGACCTTTCCCCAGAAAATCCCCAGCAACCAATTTGGCAGCTGTCAAAAGTCAATGGACTGGATGTTAGGACACCTACAAAACATAAAGTCCATCATGGCCAGCATTATGTTTGATTTCTGACTTACAAACAGTATTAAGGTTGCCTAATGTATCTAATACTTTCAGTGAGAACAAAGGGAACAAGACTAAAAAGCAAATGGAATGAGATCTATACTCCTTATTAATGTGTTGGAGTGGGGGAAATTAATCTGAGACGCTTCTCGTCTGATACTTTTACTCTTTACTTTTCTCTTACCTTCATCTGCCACCAGCATTTGAAGGTTTGTCCTGTTTTTGTCTTTCCAGGCAAAGACAAACAGCCTATTTTGGAAAGACTCCTTACGCAAACACCCTTTGGAATAAATGAGATATTTAACATGATTTGTTCGTAGCAAAGTGAAGAAGAGAGCAGAAAAGGTAGGAACAATGCGCAGAGCCCATAGGTGTTGTTAGGTAGGAACTGCCAGGTTTATTGTAGCAAGATGAAAGTCTCAGCTGGAGCCATGGTGCCTTTGCAGAGCGCTACTGCCCTACGACTGCCCTGCAGTTAGTGACTCTGCCTGCACCACATCCTTGGGGGAGGCACTGGGGCCTGCAGGTACCCCGTGCAGAGGACAAGCAGCAGAGGTTGCTGCAGAGCAGATCTTCAGGTGCCAGTGATACCTCCTGGTGCACCGTCCTGGCAGAGCTAGAAGGAAGACAGGTCTCTTGCCTGGCTCTGCTTAATGGCTACACTAAACTCCTCTTGCAGTTTATGACAGTGTGTGCTCAGATTCCTCATTGAAATACAGTTTCTTCTCCAGCTCCACATTTTTGCTTTACTCTCATCCAGAGTATATTTTTTTGTGCCTAAAATCTTCCTTGTTTTCTCCCAGGCTGATAGAAAAGGTACCCTAAGGTTATTTCACAGTCACCTCCACCATCTGCTCACTGCGGGCCAGCTCTGGCTATAACAGGTTTCCTTCATGTTCCTATTCCAGCACAGGGGGACAGAAAGCTTCCTGCAACTGCCCTGAGCTGCGAGTCACCTGGGGCATCTCCTGAGCACAGGTCAAGGACTTGGTCAAGGACTTGGGAGGGACAACTACCTGCATTGGCTGCCCATGCCAATATGGAGTGGCAGACAGGGAACTGGGGAGAAGATGCCACGAAGGTAAAGTCCCACTGATAACATTTCTGCCATTTTGCAGCTTAACCCAAGGCTGCATGCTGTGCATGATGTATGAAACTTTTCTTTTTGGTCAAAAGAAGAGAAAAGAGCACAGATCCCACATGTTGCTCTAAAGGCAGTGATTCTATTCTTACTAACATTTGTTATTCTTTAATGTTATTACACTAGTAGAATTAGTACAAGGAACCAAATGAAAGGAACAGGGAATAAAATGAAATGTCTCATTCTGCAGTAGATGAGCCAACTGATTCATAATTACATTTTGCAAATGAATGAGCTCTGAACTCAAATAAACCAGTTCTGGGTATGCGCATGAAACCTGAGCAATCTGAGACATCTGAAAGTACTTGTCCATTATAAGGACAATGCAGCTTACTGGAACATAATCTGCTCTACCATCCTACTAGATTTTATTTTCCAGACAACCAAACACTGAAGTACCACACAGAAGTTGTTAACTGAAGGAATACAAGACTGTTATGGATATGGTATTTAACTATGATTTTTATGTTAGTATCAGAAGGCATTTTCTGTCACCTAATTCACATATCTAGAAGAAACTTACTATTGGTTAGTTGACTGCTGTCGCTGTGTCAAGACTGAAACTAGCTGTGCCAAAATGACTCATGGCACTGGAGGACCAGCATGTGGGTCTGTCTCTCTGTATTGATAGAAAGGAAGCCCAGAGAATTAGCTTCTACTGAAAGTCTAACTTTCAAGAAGGCTAAAATTAGATTTTTAAAAGTGTCATTTGCGATGCTAAAGGAAAACAAAGTGGAGTTTATTTAGAAAGGACAGGTCTTTTCACATTATTTGTTAAGGATCACAGCTCATGTGTATCAAAATTTCAAGCTTCCTTTCAACTACCCAGGAGCTCAAGCACGGGCATTTTGGGAGGCAAAGTGCAGCTACAGAATTTTAAATATATTTTAAACCTCTTATTTCATAATTTTATTCATCTCATATGCAGTGTCGTTAACAATGATGTAACAAGCACTGACTATATTTGGAAGGAAAGAAATGGAGTTCTGTCAAAACAAACAAAACCAAAGGAGGCATCTGAAAGTCATAACTGCTAAGAGGTCCACCCCTAGCACAAAGCTGTGGCATGTAAAATTAAATATTCAGTCATGGTTGTATAATTAGGCAAGGAAATATACGTGTATTTTTCACATTAGAACAAGAAACAGTTGTTATTGCAGCTAAGCCAGTTCTAAGCAATTTTCTGCTTTAATGCCTTCTAAAAGCATAATGCTGAGTATGTTTCCATAAAATAGCATAATTTAAACATACACACTTGGGCCTATCACATCTGTATAAATCAGCACCATCTCAGTACTTTTCTTTGTGGGGAAAAAAATCATAAAACAATTTCTGCTGGTTTGTGCAGTTTTATAAAGATTCTGTAAGATTGATTTTGGTTCCATGAACTAGGCAAGCTCTAATAACATTTTCAAATATTTAAGAGAAAAATTAGCCTTTTCACTTCAACATGCAAATAGCTCTTGCAGTTCTCGAAGAAGATGTACAAAATGAAGGAGTTTTCTTGAAGAGGCATTATATACAAGGTAATACAAAATTATGTTTGTGCATAGAAGAGAGTTAATGCTTTTCCCACAAATAGTCCTAAGATTTCTGATGCTATTTTTATGATTTGGGAATAATTATCTATTGCCTTTAATGGCACCAGCATGAAGGTCTCAAAAAGCAGATGTTCAGCTTCACATAGTATCTATGAGAAATCAAACAACAAGAATCAGTATTAAAACGTGCAAGTATTTCAATGAATTAGAGAAACCATTTTATAGTAACTTTTTTACTTGATTTGGACCTATTGACTAAATATGGTTCAGAAAATCATTTCTCTATCCTACTGCAGCTTGCTGAAACATTACTGAAACATTATTAACCACAATTTCGTATCGGCTAGTCAGATCAGTGAAGACCTCAGCTGAAGCATGTATTCATATCTTTAGGATCCCATGAAATACTCATCTATTTGAAACTGGGAAATAAAACCCAAATACAGTGAGATTCTGTGTCTCCACTGTTTTATTTTTATTTATTTTTATTTTTTTTTTGAGGGGGGAGCTAAGAGAAGGATTATATGAAGTGAAACAGAAATGGTGATATAGAGGAATGTACTATTTCACATCAAATCTTAGATATCTAAATTTTCAAAAGTGCCACAGGTAGTTCTGACACCTAGCACTGACAAATTGGAGAGCAGAAAAAAAAAAAGAAAAAGAAAGAAAAAACGCAAGAAAGACAAAACACACTTTATTAAAAAAATATAACCGTGAATAGCATTGCAATAAATAATTTTAATCTGCATATTTTGATGCACAACGTTATGCATGTAGCAACTGTAACAAATCAATGGCTGAAGAATTGGAAACAGGAGCGTGTTCCCTGAGCATTTCTTAAGCAATCACATGACCATGTATTTCATGTCCTTGAAATCTGAATGTTCCTCTCCTGTTTCCAAGACGAATTAAAAAACTGTGAATAAAAAGCCAGCCTCAATCAAGATCTGTTCTTCCCAAAGATCTGAAGAGTTGCATTGCCTCCAAATGGTAATCAAAAGAGTGACCAAGTAGTGCCAGCTATGCCACACAAATAACTTATATCCCCAAAAGAACTTCAAAACAAGAGATTTAAGCAGCTCAGCATTACTTAAGTATTTCCAAACTACAGTGTCCAGTGAGTTTCCTAATCTTTCAGCATAGCTGTGGGTAACAGTATTTTTAAAATCTATAGCAAGGCAGAAAACGTCCTATTTGTATAAGATTCTGTATTGTCACACCCTAATATTTTATGTGGATCGAAGTATTAAAAACTTTCCTTGCAAGTTGAAAAGCAAATGTTCTGCAGAGAAGGGAGACATCCAAGTGGAAAAACATCCCAGAAGATGGAATATTCTAGACTAGCTACAAAATTCATTCAGGTCATAGACCTAAAGTGCTTTTCTTTAAAGATACTTTTAAATAAAATGTGTTTTTGAAAGTGCATAATGTTGAAATAGCAGAAATATGGAGATTTGAGGGTAAATATATTCATACCTATTCACATATGCAGACCGAAGCCTGAATCTAAAGGCTTTTTTGTACCATCGTAATTCCATTAGCTCCATTGCAATTTTCCTGACTTACAAATATGGAAGTTATGGAAGAAAATTGCAATCTCAAAATAAAAACAAAATATTAAAATCCCCTTTCAATAAACAGAAAACAGAACATTGAAGCTGTCAAATATTCACCGAGGAAAAAAGCTTCCCCTGCTTACACTAAGTCTTCTCAATCGGCCTATCTGTAAAAGAAGAAGAAGATGAATAAATTATCAAATTACAGAGGATTAATTTTGAAGTAACAAAACATTTCATGGCTTTGCAACTCTTTTTGTAGGGCCTGGAGGCACCCACATAAAGTTTCCTTCATTTTTGAAGTTAATGATTTAAAAATGAAATTAATAAAACATCAAATAAAATTGAAACCGAAGGTAATCACGGGAGGAAAGAACTTGGTAATTCAAGCACAATAATGGGAAGTGCTCTCCTAACATATGCAGACAGTGAAATTGCTGGGGCTTAGGATTCCTCCCTTTTCAAAGTTCAACTCTTTCTTCAGGGTCCAGTCAGTTTCCTTAGTGCTATATGCTCAAGCCATAATTGTCCATTTTAGAAACATTTTTGTGGGACTGGCAGGTATATCTGTTTATATTTATTAAAGTGTAGCAGGGAGGGATTTGAAATGTTATGTAAGTGCTTTGGAAGTCAGAGAAAAAAAGTGAAAGTAAAAAATCAATTACTTCTCTCTTTGGTTCCATATCACAGTCTATTTTAGGATTTTCAGAGATTTAGTCATGCATTTTCCTAAGGCAGAGTCTCACGACTTGAGACTTGCCAGAGTGGCCATGATGCTCTAAGATCTCTTTCCCCATCCCCTTCCCTGCTGTCGTACACCACTCTGTCTGTTCTGATAACCATTATTTTTATATTAGAAGTGTGGGATAGATTAAAGACAGATTTAGGGTTGTATATCCCCACATATTTTTTTTTGGCTTTTTTTTCTATTTAAAACCAGTTTAATTGTTTGATATAACTCCCAGTACAGCTACACAAACAGTGGTGATAGTGAGTTTATAAGATAGTTAATGGAAAGTTGTATTTCTCTTGAAGGTTCTGTCTGTTGAAACAGAAGACCAAAAAAACTATCCCCAAATCAAGCTCTGCTGTTTTTCTACTTGTAGACACCACAGAAGATATGTACTCTATGAAATTTGCTACTATCTACTATACACTTACATTTCAGGTCTTCCTCTTCAGAAGAAGCATCTCTGCAACCATGTTTTTCCTTGTTTTTGGACAGCTCTTCAAATAAACCACATACATATAGATAAAGGTCACCACAGCTTTAACTTTCATCTACTGATAAATCTTTGTTAAATAAATCATCTTTGATAAATCTGCTGTCCCAGGCCTTGAGCCAGAAGGGATTAATAACTAAAATTTGTCTCTTCTGGGCAACAATACTTTAAAAAAAAAAATGTCAGTAATAGCTATTTTTTGGCAGAACAGTGTAGTTTAAGGTGGTCTCTGAATAAAACTGAACATGAAATGAAAAAAAATTCCCATAAGCCACAATGGGAGGATTTTATTTTCTTCTCCCCCTCAGTAAATTTTAATTCCCTCCCTCTTGTCCTATTTCTCACTCTAACGGTGGTACTGCAACAACTCACTGGGCTTTGTTAAATAGCACCAATATCTCAACAGGAATAAACAGAAGCTATGAGGGAAGGTGCAGCTTCTCCTTGCAACCCTCCAGGCTGGGCATCCTGTGTCTTCAGTGGTATGACACAGACCTCCAATGTTAACTACAACACAGGTTGTGCCACGTGGCTTGCAGCACGGGGTCTGCACACAGGCTTGTGCTGCCATGAGGAGATGCAGGTCGCACGTCCCATCCCATCACAGACTCCTCAAAACTCAGGAAAACCCTCCGTCCTGCTCTTGTTTGTATCAAGATTGCATCAGCTCCTGGATGCTTTTTACTCCGCACCTTAAGAGTTGCAATAGTCAGGCAGATCTCTAAACATCCATAGGATTCATTTTGAACTGTACATCATAAACACTTCTCAGACAATCTAGGAAACTCCTGACCTTCATCTAAAATCCCCAGATGGGAATCTTCTGAGAAGTCAAGGATTTTTGCTGGCCCTTCTTCCACTTTCATGTTCTGTCCCTATTTCTATCACATTCTTAAGACAAATATATGCTGAGATATGCAGGGGTAGGTGCAGCTCTTCTGCAGCCTATAAGCATCATCTGCAAACCTGTTAGAGATACAAACACTTCTCCCAGAACCTGCCTCAGAACACCTATGCAGAACACCTATGTGACCAAAAGATAAATATCTGCATTTAAATATGTTGCATTTCATGAACATAAAATTTCAGAGTGAACTCCACTGATATGTGCTTTTGTGTGAATTCCAGCCACAATATAGCGCTGAATTCCAGCCACAATATAGTTTTTAAAAGGGAGCAGAGAGCTGGCAGAGGGGTTTTACCAGCGGTAGCCTGAGCTAGTACAACTCTGTTGATATTACAACATAGTTGATATTACAGCACAGCCTTTGTTTTGGTTCTAGCTGAATTTCATGCCAGCTACCCATCTATGGCATATGGAAACGGAGAATTCTGAGAATTTCCACATAAACTGCTCGTCCATTATCTTGCACAGCTTTTTGAGGCATTTCTGGTAGTGCTTCACAGACTAGTGCATGATGTAATACTGATACTGTCAACTCTGAGACCTCTTGAGTGTTTTCCTTGCATATAGCTTGTCAAAAAAATCAGAACAGTTATTTCAAAGAAAAAAAAATTCCATAGTAAAATGGTCACAAATTTATTATAATCAGACAAATTATTTTCACCAAAATAAAAATGCTCAATAAAAAACTGTCCTTTTTATATTTTCAAAATTAAACTTACAGATGTTCAGAGATTTGCCTGACTTCATTGCATCTCTTAAGATGAAGAGTAAAAAGTACACTAAACATAAAAAATCCATCTTTATTCAAGGGAAAAAAGAAAAAAAGAAAATGAAACCATACATTTCAGCAATACGTTACAAACACTTTTCTTTAATTGGGGGCAAAAATATATTACTTTTATGTTAGGACACCCTAATATATTTTTTCTCCCAGTTTTTTGTTTGGTCAGCTAGGGAATGAAAATAAATTACTGCCAACACTTCAGCTCTTCAACATGGTGTGATGCCAAAAATATTCAATTCCAGGCAGTGAAGTGAACTGAAAAAGCTCGAGATATAAGAAGGAAATGAAATAAACAAGTGTTACCAAGCCAAAACAGGAATCTCCTATAAAAAAAATCAGACTCAAAAGCTTAGATGTGCTGCTTCATAAGCAATGTACTATTTTTATTGTATTTTTAACCACAACCAAGATGTATCTAGAACTCATAGCAAATAGCCCTTTTTAAAAATAGATGCCCTCATAACTTCTGGAGTTCTTCATCTTGTAGAAAAAAAAAAAAAAAGGGGGGGAAGAAGAAGAAAAAAAGATAACCAAGCTATATCCAGTCCCAGCATTCAGGATCCAAATCAAAAGGAGGACTCAAATTTGGAAGTTTACAGGCTTACAGTTATGTGAGGTACATAATCTGTACTTTGACCTTTACCTGGAAAAAAAAAAACCCCAAAAAACAAGCAATCCTAGTGTTCTGCCTCATTACCTGTAGCCAAATATAGGTTTTAGCTAAAAGGTGCAAAGGTAAGTAAGTGGCCTGTGAGGAGCTGACGTGCTGTTCCACTCTGCTAACTTAATAGCTAGTATGTAATCAATTCAGACAAAGAAAAAAATATGGCAGAAGAATATGGTAGTTTCAGGATGAAGGAACTAAATCAAGATTTTATTCTCTTTTCCCACCCCTGTGAAGTTGAAGTAACACAACAGATGGGATAATAAATGAGATATGCTAAAATAAATAGCTTGAATACCTTTTCTTATGCAGAGCATAAATAGAAGCCCTGATCCGAAGACAGCAGTCACAATCAGAACTGCACCAACAAAACGTCTGTTCCTAGTCCACAGCATATCCTCAGCTGTATCTTTTAGAAAAACAAGCAGGGGAAAGAAACTTCAAGTTATATTCAAGCCTCTGCATTTTGATTTTTCCTTCTTTTTTCCTGCGCTATTATGACTGTTATTAGAATTTAAAACATGATAGCAGCATTCTACACTGCAAAAGACAAAAAGATGAAACATACTCATATTTATCTTTGCTTCCAGGATTCTGGGTGACAGTCCCGTTCCTGCTAGTCATCAAAGAAAAAAATGCTTAGCTCCATTCCATCAAGATTATAGAAAGAGACTGAGAAAGAGACTAGAGCGCCTTTATGATGGTGGAGCTCGGAATGCAAAAGTTATCTGGCCTCCTCAAATGCAGAGGTATTTCCTCCCAAAACTGTACCCTCATTCTTACTACTGCCTAAAAGGAGGACTACCTTGTTACAGGCTTTTCCCGCCTTCTGCCTGCTTCCACCCTCTGAAAACCATGAAAATGGTGCCAGAACAGATACTGTGCCACAGACTGGTGAAACGACCTGGATGAGTAACAGACTGACAAACAGGAAGAGGCTGTTTTTCAGCTGGACCAGGTTTCCAGTCTGGTTCAAAGCTTGTACCAGCAAACATAGGCACAAGGGAGAAAAAAACAAAAATAGACAAGTGATGGTGGCTGATTAAAATGTCCTCCAGGAAACTGTACTGCTCTGGTAAACCAGACATTAGCAGAAATAAAATCTGTGCACAACTTGTTAAATTCAACATGCTGCAGCGAAGCATGTGGTAGCAAGAAAAAAAAAAAAAAAAAAAAGTTGTTCAAATTTCTTAAGAAAGTTACCATGTCTAAAACATGACATGTTTGGAAAATGTGTTCAGTTTATAAAGAAGGGATTTGTTTTGAGGATTCAGGTTCTATGCTTTTCAAATAATCGAACTTCCTTTAAATGACAGTTGCACACTCAATTTTCACTTAACTATATACCATGCAAAATTATTATCTTGAACAACTACTTCCTTTCTCCTCATGCACAGTAAACATATTAAAACTGAGAAAGTGTACACTAATAACAGCTCTTAATGCTGCAAAGTATTTCTGTTTGAAATTAGATAGAATTCTTAAATTAGACGGAAAAGAGAAAAAGATCATGAGTGATCCATCTAAAATGAAATGACATAGGAATTTGAAAAGTATAAATGAAATTCAGGAGTGTTACCTGCTACGTATAGAATGGCAGATGTATTTTCTTGAAGTTCTCTGTTCCAGAATATACAGAGAAAAATCTCGTCTGTCCTGCTTTTGATTGTTAGCATACTTGTCACACGATACAGCTGATCATTTCCAGTTTCATAACTTGTGTTTGCCTTATCAGTGAAATCCTGATATCCTCCATTTTGCCATATTACTTCAGCTTTTGGGTATCCTTCTGACTGGCATGTTAACTTCCATTCTTTGTCCCCTGTACTCACCACTCCTTGGTTTATGGTTCTATACGGAGCTAAGGAAAGAGAAGAAAACAATTACATGAAGGAAGATAGAAGAGTTTCCTCATCCCCAGCTTCTGGGCCTTATTTCTATGTGTGTTTTGTAAACAATATTCTTAACAGACAAGGTACATTTCCTGTCTCTTCATAGTAATCAGGGCTGTACAGGATTTATCTGGGGTTTATTACAATGCTGACACTGTTTTGAAAACCGCATTAGTTCCCTGGTCCAGCCTGCCATGTCAAAGAATTTTTTTTGCAACACCACTCCTTATATGCCTGGAAAAAGAAGTACAGAAATAGATTCCAAGTGGACCAAAACACAAGGTTAATCAGCTGTGCAATGCCAGGAAACCGCACAAGTCTGTAGAGAGGTTTCTTTAGACGATTGCCTGGGCACCCTGTCTATCATGGACTCCTCCAAGACCTTTCAAGAGTGTCACAGAGTACTGAACGTCCTACAGTAAAACTCACCCTTAACTTTCAAATTGATCGTCTTGTAGTCAGCCTCGCCGTAGCCAATAAGACACAGATAGGACCCTGCATCCGTGAGTTTAACATCAGTGATCTGAAGGACAGACTGCCCAAAGTTCAGTTTCTCTTTCAACAATTTTATTCTTCCCTTAAAGTCATGGTGCTGACTGTCGAAGTCTTCCTCCCCTTTCAGAAGTACATAAACATCTTTTCTAAATCCATCTTTTTTTTCCCAGCTGACACTTAAATCTCTGAGTTTTAATTGCCCATTCACTGGAAACGTGCATTCCATGGTCACATTGCTCCCATATTCCACAGTGTAGGTTGACTGTGGAGCTTCAACAGTGAATAAAGCTGAAAAACAAAATTAAGAAGAATTTAAAAAATTTTTCAACTATAAGCCTAATTTTCAAAAATATGTTTTATCAGATGCATAGGACATTTGAAAATCCAAAAATACTATCCTGCTCATACAGTTAAAATTTTTGGCATGCACATAGCCAAATTCAGTACAAATTGAGCTGTTTGTATCTGTATATAATCATACCAAGGATTTGTGCATTTATGCAATATAATTATTTTAAAAATAAGAGATGTATGCGTGTGCATGCCCTCAGCAGTTGCTTTCAGAACACTGCCTAACCCTGTTGTTGATGCCTCTTACAAGAAGGCTCTGTTTATGCGTCACAGAATCACAGAAGGATTGAGGTTCGGAAGGATATCTGGAGAGCACATTGCACAGAATCACGTCCAGGCAGGTTTTGAACATCTCCAGAGAAGGAAAATCCACAACCTCTCTAGGCAACCTGTGCCAGTGCTCTGTCACCCTAACAGTCAAGTTGTTTTCCCTCATATTCAGATGGACTTCCCTGTGTTTCTGTTTGTGCCTGTGGCCTCTTGTCCTGTCACTGACCACCACTGAAGAGAGCCTGGACCCATTCTCTCTACACTTTCTCTTCGGATATTGGCACACACTGAGGCCCCCTCAGCCTTCTCTTCTGCAGGCTGAACAGGCCCAGCTTCCTCAGCTTCTCCTCATAGAAGAGATGATCCAGTCCTTTCATCATCTTTGCAGCCCCTTGCTGGACTCTCTCCAGTAGCTCCATGTCACCCTTGTACTGGGGAGCCCGCACTGGACACAACACTGCAGATGTCAGTCACCAAGGCGGGTAGAGAAGAAGGATCACCTCCCTCGACCTGCTTGCAACAGCCTTCCTAAGGCAGCTCAGGATGCTCTTGGCCTTCCTGGCCACAAGGGTGCATTGCCTCCTCATGGACCCCCAGGTCCTTCTCTGTAGAGCTAGGGACTACCCTAGTGCCTGGGTTTGTTCCTTCCCAGGGGAAGGACCCTGCACTTGCCTTCGTTGATCTCCAAGGGATTTCTCTCTGACCATCTCTCTGTCCAGGTCCCTCTGGATGGCAGCACAGCTCTCTGGTACACCAGTCACTCCTCCCAGTTTTGTATCATCACCAAACTTGCTGAGGGTGACTCTGCCTTTGTCCTGCTCACTGATGAAGAATTTGAACAGGAGTGGGCCCAGTATTCACCCCTGGGCACACCACTAGCTGGAGGCCTCCGCTAGACTCTGCATCACTGATCACGACCCTCTAAGCTCTGCCATTCAGCCTGTTCTCAATCCACCTCACTGTCCACTCACGTAACCCACACTTCCTGACCTTACCTTATGGGAGACATAAGCTTTGCTCAAATCAAGGTGGACAACATCCACTGCTCTCCCCTCATCTACCCAGCCTGTCATCCCATCATAGAAGGCTATCAGATTGCTTAAGTATGATTTCTTCTTTGTGAATCTATGCTGACCACTCCTGAATATGTTCTGTTTCTCCACATGCTTAGAGATGACATCCAAGATGAGCTGCTCCATCAGTTTTCCAGGGATGGAGGTGAGGCTGACTGACCTGCAGTTCCCCAGGTCTCCTTCTTGACTTTTCTTAAGATCGGAGTGACACTGGCTACTACATGCTCTTACAAATAGAATCATAGAATCCTTAAGGTTGGATGCTGAAGAATATGAAACAGATTCCCAGGTTTGACATATCCAATGAAACTACCTGTAGGTTGCAAACTGCACCATGTCTTAACTGGGACAGTTGCTGAAACAATAATTGGGATTTCAATACACACCCTTATCAAAGCACCTATATTAAGTACACTTTATTAAACAAAGGAAAACAAAAACACTAACACTTAACGGAAAAGTACATGAGGAGTTAAAATTTCCATGCTTATACACAGATAGGAAAAATAAAAAAACAGTTCAGCTTCTTACCGTTTAGGAAATGCCAGTGGAATACAAACATATACAAAAGCAAAGGCTTTTCCATGGTGAAGATACAGCCTAAAATGATAAAATAATTGGCAAATATAAATAAATACTGAAAGCACTGAATTCCTCTCTAGCCAAACAAATGCCAGAACTGCCCCTATGACCACTGTAAATTGGATAGAAAGTTACTTGCTTGCATTTAGGAAGGATGTACAGTTTTATTTGCCTTGAAAACTTAACTATTTGTTATGGCAAAATACATACTTTATTACTTTCACTCTATTACTAAATGAGTATTGTAAGTACCCAGTAGCTACAGCGAACTGTAGCTGGGAGCATCACCACTAGGAAGAGAGAGGAAAAGCTTTATATACAGACTGAGTGGAAGAAATAGAACTCCTCTCTCCCCCACCAGTTTGCCTAGTTCATTTTACTATGAATCTACTAAATTTTGTAACACCTTTTTTTCACAATGCTAATATAGGGCTTTTGAAGATAAATATATTGCAAAAAACATCCAAGTCATACTTAATCTTTTAATTAAGGAACAGTTTTTACAACAGTGCAGAATGGTCCTAAAAGTTGCCAGTCTACAAATAAAATCTGTTTGCTTGATTTTTTCTGAATATGTAAATTATTTTAATTTTCCCTCAGAAAAATTCCTTCCTCCCACCTTTGCTGACAGGCCGTATATACTACCATACAATATGAGCATCACATCACATTAACGAAAGCTCATTCACAAACTTAGTTCACAAACCCACGCTTCCTAAGTCTGTATTCTGAGTCATAGCAGTAGTAGACCCAACCAACCTCATCTTTTTTTTTCGTTTTCAAATTACCTTCAAGCAAAATTTAAACTCTCTTTAATGCAAGCCTGTTTTAAATATAGAAAAATTCTCTGTTTGAATACCTGAACAGCCACAGAAATAAGCAAATATTGTATTAAACTGCTTTCTAATGGTAGTTCCATTATTTGCATAATGAATTAGGCAACACCAAATGCTCCAACTGATGAGAATATATCTGGACGGAGAATCTTTGTCTTTGTTCTCTGGCTTGCAACATAAAGACAGTAGTGAAGTAACAGAATTGTCCTGAGTCATAGGACATATATGTGCCTTTGGAGCATGGTAGCTTCAGGGACTTAGACTCATTTCAACAGAATCTGACACAAGCTACTTTTTCCCTCCGCTTTCTGCTGATCTCAGCAGAGAGTTTGTGGAAGGCAACAAGGATAGAGCTGAAAAAAGAAAGGTATTTTAATACGGTCAGGCAGGTATAAGCAATTACAAAAGGACTTTCTGCTGAACAGGGATAGGAAAATATAAATAAGATCCTTAGGATCTGTTCCACTGATAAATACATTCCAGAGTTACATGTTTAGAGAACCAGATTAATTTCTTAACCACAAATAATGTTCCTAAAAACACATAAGCATAAGAAAACTTATGCCTAGTCTTAGGTAGGTAAGAGACCCAAATTTCTGGTGATGAGAAGCATGAGAATGCCTGTAATATTATGCTGCTACCTAGATGAGCACTAATTCAGAGCACCAGCTGAGCTCCAAAATAAAGCTCCTCAAGCAAGGTGGAAGAACAGCAGTCTCAAAATGCTCTCTGATTAGGTTTGCTCCAGAAGAGCACACTAGTGAAACTGACGGGCAAAAGCCATCAGTGCTGCCCGTAGGAGAATGACCTGGTTTGTACCCAGGTACACACATCTAACATCACACATGGCTAATTCCCACTTTCTCAGCAAGAAACCAGAATGTAAGCATTAACTCCAGGGGCAGACTTCTAACAAACTCCTCAGAGAAGGATGTCAGACAGTGAGCATTTTTATGGCTCTAATTCTTGTATACCGCAACCGAAGGACTTTAATTTGCATGCTTTCTCCAACTGCCAAGCAGAGCCTTACTAAGAAATATAACACTACTCATAACACCCCTCAAGACTGACCATCTGCTCTGACAATATCTGCTACTGTATGAAATTTCACTCTCAGGCAGGGGAAAGCAAAACGCCCAGGCGTACATGAAAGTCTTCTGCAATAGACATTACAGAGCTTTCTTTTGCTTCACTCTGAGAAGGCCTAACCTTGAGGTGGCTTAGCTAAACCCACTTGAGAACGTAGACAGCTTTCAGGGTGCCAAAACATTTACTTCCTCACTATTTTTCTTACAGAACCTATCACAGTGTCTCTTCCCTTCTCACAATTTGTATCTGATTCCTCTAGCTGACACAATTTTATAAAAGCCAGAAGATATCCACAGCACAAAACACTCTTCAGTCTTGAAATCTCACAGTCAGATGGAGGGAAAACAAAGTTCTTGCACACAAACTGTTTTGTGACAGAACCTAAATGCTGATGTAACTCCATTTACTTCTTTAGGAAACTTCCCCATTGCTGGAAAATTCCCCACCAGGGAAAATTCTTTTTTTCTCTATATGTAAAACCACAGGCATTTTAAGAAATATATCATCTGATTGGAGCAAGGTAAACAACAGTCCTTGGAAAACCAGCAACAAGAAGTGACCTGTCTACATTAACTCCACGTTCACACAGTTCTTAATCACACACAGCATTAAGCAACTGCTAACAGTGACTGGAAAGTTTTGTGTAACTTACTTCTGTTGGTCAACATAATACATGAGTAATAGTAATGGTTAACCCTTCTCTGCAACAGCTTACAGAACACCATACCTTTTCTCTCCAAGATCTGAGAGCAATGAAGGCTTCTTCACACACTACTGTGTAGCACAGGAAGGGTTATTAAGCCTTCCTAGTATCTTAGAGAAATAAAGAGAGCTCTTTCTTTTTCTATATGTAGAAATTATCAAAGAATACAGAAAAAGCAAGTATCAGAATCCAAAGACAGTACTCACATGAATGTGCTGATGGTAGAGGGATAATCTGATCAACAGCACAACACATGACCTTTCACTTCACCCACTTATCTTCTCTTTGAGTATCTCAAGTAAGGGTTAGGATTCTCCGAAGAGATAAAATGCTGTAAAATGACCACTTAAAAAATTTCAGCGAACATTTCTTCTTTCCTCTTGACAACCCACTCACAGTACCTGTCATGGAATTACAAACACATAATACACAACTTTTGTATGAGTCAACTTTTATAAGGGTGGGATGAGTGTTATAGGAACATGGAGGCCGGGTTATAGGAAATACCTGCATGTAACATTTAGACTCTAGAAAACCGAAACTACCTTAGGTGGTTTAGAGCATGAATTTCTGTAATTCATGAGGCCTAATGAACTTTCCTTTCCACCAGTTTCCTCTGTGCTCAAAAACCAGCTTTAATGACATTTCAGTTTCTCAGAAAAAAAAGGAACAGCTACATTGTAAAATAATGCCTGAGAGACCACAGAAATCATTAATGTAGCTAATATTCAGAATTATAAATTTATTTTCCTGTTGTTAATTGTTTCCCCTGACCTCACTAACCCTTTCTTTTTTCCCACATTTAAGCGCTTAGCATCAAATAAAAGATTCTGAAAGTTGTTTTTCTTTCACAGACAGTATAATCAGATCCAGATACATAGATACACAAACATAAATGTACACATGCTATGGCGTGTATATAAAAATGCACACATCTATACGCATAGATGTTTAGGTGTGCAGAAGCAGGTGTATGTAGGTATATAGCCATATACATGTACGCAGAGACACCCATATACATGTATCAATAATGTGCATATATGTATGTATATGTGTGTGTATATGTGTATGTATGTATATGTGTGTGTATATGCGTATATATACATATATGTGTGTGTGTATATACATATATATGTATATACGTATATGTGTATGTGTATGTGTATATACATGTATATGTGTGTATATGAGTATATATGTCTATACACATATATTCCCACATCTATACGCACACACATGTATATACACACATATACATACATACACACATACGCACACATATACATATATACACACATACACTACCTATCCCACTAGCACCATACGTGTACCTATCCATACACATACCCATACTCCGTACATGCAGATACACACACACACAGTGTACATACATGCGGGTGCACACGTGTGTACACACACACACACAGGCACCCTCGCCCCCAGCTCTGCTCCCGGCG